AGTCGATTTGAGGAAAGAGTGAGTTGCCCCTGGGGCTATCCCCTCTGGGTCGAAGATAGTGTTGAGACTTGGTGTGGCTACATTTAGGCCTGGTCCCCACTTAGTCCAGACTTCGGACTAAGGTACGCAAATTCAGCTACGTTAATAACGTAGCTGAATTCGAAGTACCTTAGTCCGGACTTACCGCGGTCCAGACGCGGCAGGAAGTCTCCCCCCGTCGATGCCGCGTACTCCTCTCGGCGAGCTGGAGTACCGGCGCCGACTGTGAGCACTTCCGGGATTGATTTATCGCGTCTTAACCAGACGCGATAAATCGATCACAGAACATCGATGGCGTGCCGCCGGACCAGCCGGTAAGTGAAGACTAGGCCTTTGACACACAAACTGATTCCCCTTTAAGTCTGGTTCCAAGAGAAGGTTTCCCCCTCTGATGCCATCCAAGTTGGGTGAGTCTTCACATACAAGCCCCAAGGACTTAGGTCTACCTAAGCCTACCAACCACAAAAAGAAAGCAGAGAGCATGTAGGAGCAAAGCTCCAACAGTTCCATCCCCCATACTGACACCAGTGCCAACCGGGATTTCCACCAAAGCGAAGGATCAGCATCCACCATTGACAGCCAAAAGCTCCAGGAAGGACTCTTTCTAATGATACCGGCCAGGCCCCATAAGGATCTGCCAACAACTAAGTTATTGTGGCACAGAATCTGGCATAACCAGTAACCAGGACCCCTCATAATCTGGGACAGGCTGAGACATATACTACCCCAAGGGGATATCATCTTCTTCCCAGACCCACAATCGCCTTTACTTTCAGACCCAGTTCTTCTGAGGAACGTTCTAACCCCAGAAGAGGATACTACTGGAAGGAGGAGGATGTTATCTCACCCACTCTTCTCTCTCTAATGTTCGGATAATGTACATAACATGACTGTCTTCTATATAAATAAACAAGGCGGGGGCAAGGCTCCTCCCACTGTGCATAGAGGTGGTCAACTTATGGAATTGGTGTATCCAAAATCACTGTAACGTACCTACCTGGTGCTCAGACACTTTTTCACCAATCATGAGTGGGATTTACATCATTCAGTGCCGGGCAGCATTTTCCCCTCAGTGGGGAACACCATCTTGGGAGCTATTCACCTCACAGAAAAACAAGAAGCTCAATGTACGTTGTACCAGAGCAGTTCAAGGTCTGGACTCCAGGCGCGATGCCCTTCTCCTGTCCTGGACAGGCTACATGAGATACACCTTCCCTCCAATCCCACTATTACCCCAGATTCTCTAGAAGATTTGTCACAACAAAACACAAGTCATTCTCATCTGACGCAATTAGCCCAGACAATTCTGGTTTCAGGACCCTGCTACAAATTTCAACCCAGCAACCTGTTAGCATTCAGTCATTCCCAGACGTGCTAATTCAGGAGACTGGCAGGATCAGACATCCCAACCTGGACTCACTTCACCTCATGCTTTGGTATTTGGATGGGTGTCAGACCTAGAGCTTTCATGTTCAGAGGCCATTCAAACTATTCTTAATCACAGCAGGAAAGATTCTACCAGAAAATGTTAACTAGTCAAATTGAGGCATTTCTCTACCAGGGCGCCTCAGTTATCAGGACCAACAGGTATTCCTGCTGCCTTAGACTTACCTCCTCACGCTCACTCAGGTCTTTCTAGTAGCTCTCTACAGGTCCACCTAGCAGCAATCAGTGTGTTCCACCTCCTGGTGGATAGCTATTCTGTTGTTCACCCAGTAACGACCAGGTTTGTAAGTGGTCTGACTAGGACCTTCCCACTAGTAGCGAAGCCAACGCCACAGTGAGACCTTAATCCTCATACTGGCCACCTTTTGAACCATTCGCCATGTGCTCAATGTCTCATTTATCCATGAAGGTAGTCTTCCTGGTTGCCATTACGTTTGCCAGGAAGGTGGGTGAAGGAAAAGCCTTTGTGGCAGACTCACCATACGCTATATTTCATAAAGAGACGGTACCCCTTCACTCCACCCAAAGTCCATCGCAAAGGTATCTTCCAAGTTCCACATAAGCCAATCAGTTCACTTACTATGCACTTATTCACTCCAGGCTCTTTTCAGAGCCTCCTGCCTCCATCCAGCAAGAAGAGGAAACTTCACTCTGTCGATGTCAGATGAGCATTGCCATTCTACCTGCAAAGGATGAAACCATTTAGAAAATCTCCTAGACTATTTGTCGCTATAGTAGAGCAAGCATGGGGACAAACCGATATGTGCTCAGGCTCTCTAAGTGGATTCCTGGCTATATCCTCCTTTGCAATCCGTTAGTGTATTTCCCTCCCCCGGATGGGGTGAGGGCTCATTCTGCTAGAGCACTGGCAACCTCAGTAGCATCTCTTCAGGAAGTACCTGTGCTGGACACTTGTAAGATGGCAACCTGGAGCACGATCTGTACTTTCATGAAGCCCTATGCTTTAGTCCACGTCTCTTCTGTCAACACAGCCTTTGGAATTGCAGTGTTAGATCTGTACCACCTGCATCCTTCCTCCCCCCCTCCATTTGATCACTGCTTGACATTCCCCCATATGTGAATGCACACCGGGATTAGAACTCGGAGTAGGAATGGAGGTTACTTAGCTGCAACTGGAGATTCTTTGAGATGTGTGGTCTGTCTCTGAATTCTGCTACCCAACCACCTTCCCCTCTGGTTTGCCTCATGACTGGATTTGCGGTAGAGAAGTGGTCAGTCTGCCTCTCCCCTTACATTCTCGGTACTGAGCACAAGGAGATCCAGGGCACAGGCACGGACAAACAGACAATACTTGCAAGAATTTCCAGTCTCAGTCACATAGTGCACATGCATATCCCGCCTATGAAATACACATTGGGATCACACATCTGAAAGAAATTCCAGTTACAAGTAAGTAACCTCCATTTTCTGTAACTTACAATTTGGGTTCCTATATTCTTTGGGCAATATTGGCTCAGAGCTTGCAATGTTACCACTCTAAATTTGGAATCCTTTACTCATTAGTGATGGCATCAGGCCATCCTGAAATGGCTTTTTAGAAGTACAATACGATACTCCTTGGCACAGTGTGAAGGCTGCTTGCTTATTCCTGGTGTCAAGTGTTTTATTTTTGATGCTCTCAGGAAGCTAACTCAGCTGTTCTGTTTTTAATATCTGATGAATTAGGGAACAGATCCTGCGTGTGAAGGCTGAAGAGGACAAAATCCCTTTGCTTGTGGTGGGAAATAAATCTGACCTGGAGGAGCGGAGGCAGGTGCCTGTAGAGGAGGCCAGAAGTAAAGCAGAGGAGTGGGGTGTGCAGTATGTAGAAACTTCTGCCAAAACTAGAGCAAATGTAGATAAGGTAAGGCAACTAGCTTACATTTTTACTGCAGTAGAATCTGTCATTCAGTACTGAGAATGACAGGCTAATTCTTACTACTTTCTGGGACAGGCACAATTCATGGTTGGGTTTTTGTTCCTCTTACAATAGTCTACACTTGTAACCTTTGAATGTTTCAGTTAATGAATATCTTGCAAATTAAAGCGAACATTTCGTTTTTGTTGCCGTCTATGTAACATGTCAAGAAAATCCCATTAATTTACTTTATTATAGATACAAGTGTGGTGAGTCCTTGTACAATGGCAAACTTTCAGATGATGGTTTGAAGTATAGTAGATTTATTAGCTCCAAGAATTCACTGAAGTGCAGAGTTTGATTTAAATTATAGCTTGAAATGCTTAGTAGTGATATATATTAACTGTAGTTCAGCCCATCGTAAAATGAAGATAATTAAAATGAGGATAATTTCAGCACTTCTGAATTTTGGTTCTTCCCTCTTTTGTCTCCTCAATTCACATGTGGTGCAGCTGATATTTTGTTAAATATCTGCCAAAACTCTGACTAACTCTGTTCTTTGCTTTCTGATATTGAGATTATCTTCAGTTTCTGAGAAACAGATATACATTTTTTACCTCATACCTATCCTGTAACGTGATTCCCCACACCCTCCATACCTGCCTTTCCGAAAACTCAGTATTCTCCAGCTTGATGTCACTTGTAGTGGTTTTGGATTGAAATTGCTTTTCAATTTCTGAACAGATGGATTCTCATAACCCTTCTAGCAAGCGAACATACGTATGTGCTTCCTGAAGTGTCTTAGATATCGGGAT